GCATCTCTTAATCTACAAGATGATGTGATTTTGGAGGCCATTGATACATCTTTGAGATTTAGGCCAAGGCAAGTTGGTGGTTTTGGGGGTATCTCCGAGAGGGAATGTTGTTCCCCTTGCCTTCCTCTTCTCTTTGATGGTATAAGCTTTTGATTTAGTGGAGTTTAAAGCTTGGAGCAAGCTAGGGCTTTGCATCCTTGAGGTAGGGGTTTGATTAAATTGTACAGTCCTAGGTTGTGGTAATCAATTCTTTGTTTTCCCCTTGAAAGCATTCTTAATTTGGTATGAGTTGATTAATGGTGTCCTAGGGTTTCAAGCATGATCTTTAATTACTTAATTATTACTTGGATGGAAATCAATGCCATTTTATGTGTTGTAAAGTATTATGATTTTGTTGCTAAGTGTGTCAATTTGAAAGATTGTATTAACTATGTGTATGATTGTGTATTGCATGTGGTTTAATTGAGGTAGATGCTAAGTATTGTGAGTTTAACCATGTCTAGCATGCTTATTATAAGACAACTTGCTTACATGAGACTATTTCTTGTATTAAAGTTAAATGCTATGTGGTTTTGTTGCCAATATGAACTTCTTGATGATTTATAAGTAAAAGCATGCCTATTCTTCTAATTGTAATTGTGTATTAATGATGGAATGTATGGTCGTCCTAAATTTGTTATAATGCATATTCATGACATTACAATGGCATGTGTTGGTATGGATAGAGTGGTGTGTGGGAAGTCGTGGGTGGAAATGAGTTTTCAAAGTTTATGGAGCAAAGGTTTATTCTTAAAACTGGTATTAGGAAGGTATCCCTTTAATGGTGGTACTAACTAGCTATATGGACAGAATAAGGTACCTGAAGTCCGGCTAACTAGTACATCTTTAGTGTAGGTGTGTTGGAGTCGGTTGTGTGTGTATGGTATGGACACATAATGCATGACATTCATTTGACATTTGGATCATAGTCTGTGTGCTTGGAGGTTGATTTGTGACTGAAAGTCCCTTGGATGACCCCTCTCCATTTTATTATGCTCCTACGTGGTTGTTGTTATATTTACTCGACTTGAGGAAACGTTATTTAGGCATCATCTACTAAGCGGTGGTGCTCACCCCTTATCTTAAATATTTTAAGACTCGAAAGGAATGAAATGAACAATACATCTTCACAATTGTAGGCATTGATAGAAAGTGAAATTTGACGTCATTTGTAGTGCACATTATTTTTTTGTAAAATTTTGGGCTTAAAACATGTAATATTTGTATTCATTCCAATGGCAATGTAAACTTATTATTTTGGGGTATATAATTGGTAATAATGGTATTGTATTATTATATTATTAACGTGGTAATCGTATTCATTTGGACCATTTTTGAGCATTTGGGGCACGTTGATAGTGATATAAGCATTTGGGCACGTAACCCATGAATTTGAATATATTTTGTATACATAATAATGTAAACCAATAGGAATGAACTACGCTATTAATTATTGTATCCTAAATTTTTTTTCACGTGTATATATATATATATGTTCATTTACACGTGACATGGCATTCTATTTTGTAGCGTTGAGTTTTGGAAAAATTTAATTAAAATTAGATTATTAATTATAATGTACCCTGTAAGTGTCATTTTTGGCTGGAACGACCGGCTATCTATGATCGGTCGTCAACAAAATAAATTGAGTTTTGGGGGATTAGCGAATAAATTGAGTTTTGGGGATTGGTTACTGTTCAATAGAGAATTGGAGTTGGGACGACCGGCCAGTTGTTACTTGTCAGGGCGCATGCCTGCACGCACCACTTTGCGCGCTCATGTGTGCGTGGGGCACTGGATGACCAGTCGTCCAATGCTGCTACCGGTCGTCGCCCCTACTCCTAATCACATGCCGATATTTGCACAATTGACTTTAGTCTCCACTTTAATCACTTTACATAAATTATTCCCTATTGGGAAACATTTATCCTTGTCTTAAAACCACGTTCCAAAGTACGTTGCATACCTCATAAGTGGCGTTATTTTTGTGTTACCGCACGTTAGTGATTCGGATCTACCGGATTTGGGTCCCTACATTGTAAATAACAATTTTACCCTTTTTGGGTTTTGAAGCCACAATAAATATACTAAATGACTATTTTGCCCTTATGGGTTTTGAACCATTATTTTTCCACGGTTAATGACCATTATACCCTTATGGACTCTAGAGCTAGTATAATGACGTGAAATGATTAAAGTACCCTTGTATGACCCCGGGCTTGGGTAAGGACCCAATTAGCAATTCGGATCCCTGGATTTGGGTCGTTACATACTCACTCACTAGTGAGTAGGTAAGTATTGTCCTTGCCATTGAGTCCTTATTTTCCTAAATCCCCAAGATGTATTTGAATCATATGGTTGAGAAAAGAGAGCTCGTGAGTTTTTTTGTGAGTGTTCTCTCATAGTAGCATCAATTTTGTTGATTTGTTGTCTTAAAATGTATTTCTTCTTCAACGGGCTAGTAGCCCAGCAGTACCAAACTCCTATTTCTAAAAGGGAAGTCAGGGGTTTAAACCTTAGTGGAGGCATGGGTGTGTGAGTACCAACTAAGAAAAAAAAAAATAGATTTCTTCAATACATACATACATACATACATATACATATATATATATATATATATATATATATACGTTTACATATACATATAACCAAGTGTTTAAGGCTAATGGTATTTATTCAACTTCCAAAGAAGATGTCGGGGGTTCAAGTTAGGAGATGTGAATTTGTAATTAGCTTATTTTGGTATCAAAATGTGTCTGATCAAATTGTAATTTTGTTCTATATTGAGTCTCGATGTCAAAAGTGGAACTACACGTCCAAGCACACTTGAGCATACTCTGGTTCAATGAGAACATCATGTGACTAGTATTTAATTAAAATATTATTAAAGTATTTTTATTATAAATCATAAATATTATTATATTTAATATCATTCTTATTTTATTTATAATAATGTATTGATGGTAAAAAAGAGTTACAAGTTGTAAGCATATAAAAAGAAATTTCTACCATACTTAGGGTATGACACTTTTAGGTGATATACTTGAGTGTATAATGGTGTAAGGGCCGTAAGGCTGTGAGCTTATCATTTTTCTCTTAATACTTAGAGATTTTATAAAGTGTATATTATATCGTGTTTGGGTCAACTTTGAAGACGAGACTGGTACATCTTTGTCTCTTTTTGGGCGTGCCTAGAGAAGACCACCGGTGGATATGGGTTGTATCTTGGAGTTGTACGTATTGGACCGCTATCACCTGTACGTAGGGAGGCTATATGACTTTAGGACACTGCTCGCATGCCTCTCATTATCTAGGTCAATTCTTTCTTAACTTATTTTATTATTCTCTTTTTTCCTTATATTATTCTATCAAATAATTTCTTACATTGTTGTGATAATAATGTTGTTTATTTCAATATTCTTATACTACATGATAATTCTTTTCATTGTTATATTCATGTTGTTGAAGTTGATGTATTATTCAGTTTAATGAAAATATTGATATTGTTATTTTATTCATCGATATATTGTTTATATTGTTGACTCATGTATCAATAAATTATATGCATTATTTTTTTAATGTGTTATTATTTACATGTAATTTCCCCAACACATCATATAGTAAAGGTATGTGAATGAGGATATACAATGCACATTTATATTTTAGTTGGAATAGGTTGCAATAAAGTTTTTAAATTAAAAATTGCAAACTGCCAAAGTCCGACCGGTCACACTATCTTCCACCAGTCGAACTTCAACAGAACTCAAGAATCAAAATTTTGAAATTTGTGTGATTGCAATTGTTAAAGTCCGACCGGTGGCACTATGTCTGATTGGTCGCATTTTACGAGATTAAAAAGAAAATTTTAGTTTTAGTATAAAAACTTGTTGATTCCTTAATTGTTTTACCAAGTTAGGTTCAGACTCTCTAATGTCTTTATAAGCACTTTTTCTCTCATAATTAATTACAAATTTTGAGATCAATTTTCAGCAATTTGAGAGAGCCTTTTTTTAGAGAATTTTCTCAGTGTCTGTATTTTCAATTTGAGGGCACATACTATTTCCACTTGAATGATATTAGGTTGTTGTTTCTCTTTATGAATGGAGTTCGAGTAGTATGAAAATTCATACAAATTTCATTTAAGAAGTAGAGTTTTATTTTACCTTCTCAAATTCATATTTGATTTTCGTTCAAGAAGGATTCGATCGTGCTACAAAGGGGGCAGAACATTCGTGAAGTATTCGTGTTGTACTAGGAACCCTATTACAAAGATTGAGGAGTAAGCCTAAAGTTGAGAGTGTTTGGATGAGGAGTACAAAGATTGAGGAGTAAGCTTGAAGTTGAGAGTGTTTGGACGGGGAATCACAAAACTAGAGGCATTTAACAACTAGTTCTTAGTGGGGTGGGTGTGAGTCTGTTGCTTTAAGATAGTGGATCGTTTCGCTCAAGACTATGAAAGTCACTGTGGTTTTCATCTTGATTAGTTGGATTTCTTCCATGTAGGGTATCCATGCTCAAAACATGGTGTCTCTCTAAATTTTAGATTATTTACTTGCTTTTTACTTTCCTTTATAATTTTAATTGTGTGAGTAAAATTTGGATATACAAAGGAGTAAGTTACACCTATCCACCACCTCTAGCTGTTTTTAAACTGATATTCCACTATCATTTCGCATGGCGCAACTCACACGAAACCCATAGGAACGGGGGCGGAGCAATGATTTCAATTCAAGGGGGTGTAGCGTAAAAAAAAAAAAAAAAAATTGATTGTAAAATAATATGATACTCAATGAGTAGTATAAGAAGGATAAATAGTTGACAATACAAAAATTAAAATATTAGATAGTGACTGTGTAAGGGTTTTTTTGCTAATATATATATATATATATATATATATATATATATATATATATATTACGTACCAAAGTTCTGGCTCTCAATAAATATATTATATTACGTACCAAAGTTCTGGCTCTCAATAAATTCCCTGAACAGAGTCTTACTCGCAACAAAAGCTTTAACTGAAAGTCAAACAAACAATTTATTTAATTAATAAATGCATGTGTGGCATGTAATACATACATATATATATATATAAATGCTACGTGCCTGCTTGATAAAAAACCTGAGTATGAATCCGACGTATAACCTCCAATGATTCCTTGTTACCGTGAATTGCAGCGAGTGCGAGTGGGATATGTTTATATTTATTCATGAAATGAGCAAATTGTACTGCATTAACTAATGCTTCTGCTATTCTCTTGTTTCCACCCCTGGCAGCAACATGAAGTGCTGTGTCCCCATTATCATCTTGTAGGATTCTTAACCTCTTAGCATCGATGTTCTTCAAAAGTTCCTCCACCAACTTCTCGTGCCCGTGCAAAACAGCAATATGAATCGGTTTTTCCCCTTTTGTGGAAATGTTAGCATATACTGCATTTGGATCTTTCTCCAGGAAAGCTTTCACTCTTTCCAACTCCCCGTTCACCAACGCCCTATATAGGGGTATATATTTAATTATATCATCCCTTCCGGCTTTTGATGATGGTGGTGGTGGCTGCAGCAGCAGCCGCAATGGGTGTGCTGGTGGTGGTGGGGGTGGTGGTGGCGCAGCCGTTGGCCTGTATCCATGTTTTAATTCATACGCACAATTAATTAATTGCATATATATAGACACGCATATATTCACAATGTCTCCCGCTAATGCTCGGTAATAATTTCTTATCTTCTAGTTGGTAAAATAAGGTAGGGAAAATGACAGATTCTAGGAGGTTCGAATTTAATTTCATTTAATTAAAAAAACTTGTTTACAAAAAATCAGTAAAACAAAAAATAAAAAAAGTAAAATGAAAAACTAAAAGTATAAATACAAATACGTGCATAATATATTATGTTGTATGGATTAAAAATTCGGGACTAAAAATTCTGCTATACATGCATTTTTTTTTTCCCCCCCGGTAGATAGCTATACACATCTATTACATATATATATCATATCTTTGTAAAGAAAATATAGCAAATAATAAAATAAATAAGAAATGTTACAAATAAAGAAAGTAAATTCTCATTTTTTTTTTATTTACCAAAAAAAAAATCTCATTTTATGTAAATTGGCATTATCACAATAATTGTAGAAGAAATAAACTAACTAAAGATAATTAATTAATATGATCACTTCACTAAAAAATTTCTAATTCAAAGAATCAACTATGTTTATCTACAGAAATTTTAAATTTGCTTTACCATCTGACCAAGAAAAAATTTGAGTCTAAACCACATTGAATGAAATAATATTCAAAATAATATGCTTAGCAAGCTTTTAATCCGCTTCACTCCTATTCATATTCTTAATAATTTTTGGCACTTGATGTAAACCATTTGAAGAGGAACAGGAAAAAAAATAAAAAAATAAAGGCAAACATGCCTTAGAAAATGGTAAACATATTGAAACGAATTGGTACTTAAATTATGTAATAAGTCCACAAGTATAATATATCTTACATGATCGGAGAAAAGTGGGTGTTCATCTTCACTTTCGTCCACCTTCTGAAAATGTTTATAACTATACAATCGATTTACTTCCAACACTTCCCTTTTATAGTAGAAATATTGGGTTAATTGCAAAATATGGGTTAATTGCAAAATATTCTTTCGTACTACAGACAATTTTGCAAGTTGTGCTCTTGTTCTAAAATTTGCCCCCATGCCATTTGAATTATTCCAATGAAGTCCAACTGTGTAACCAGCATTAGTTTGCTGTTAAATACACGCCACAAGATATGAAATTGAACTTCATATTATCAAATTTAGTATTGATAATAATAAAAAAAATAGAGTTTAATCTAAAAGATCAATTTTTTAATCACCTTGTCCTTGATGGGTTCTGCTTTTTTTGTTTTAATTTTGACTTAATTTATTTTTTATGATATACTCCACCAAATTTAACTCTAGGGTTTTACCGATAATGGGAAGTCACCAAAAAGATATCTCTTGAATAATATTAATGGAGATGTGGCGGTGTTGTCCGAGTGTACAAAGGTCAGACCTAAAGTGCCCCTGTCCTATTGATTTTAGGTTCGATTCTCCCCTTCCCAAACTAATTACTAACCATTGACAAGCTAAAAAAAATTATACATATTAATGGCACTACCTAAAGACCTGAATATCAACCGGTTAGGTTCATTTGGAAAAGGAGGAAATATAAATTCTTAGGAGTATTTGTGCAAAAGAGTGATTTTGTCAAAATAATAATGACTATTTTTAAATAGAGGGGATAATAATGCGAAATTGAAAGAATAGGAGGTTTTTATTTATTTATTATTATTTTTTTTTTTTTGGGGGTATAGTTTAGGCTTCTTATTATTGTTTTATTTATTTTGTAATTTATCTTATTTAATATTGTGATGATTGCATAAATTGATTAGCATACAATATTATCTTGAAAAAAATATGGTGTTTTTAGTGGCAAAAAGAAAGCCATTGTATTTTGAGTCATTATATACCAAAAGAAACAAAACCACCTCTCCAATTATTAATGATTACAATTATATTCTAATGTTTATCTAAAGCAAATATGTCATCTTATCTTTTTCTCACTCTCTCAAATTATTTTAATTTTGTTATTTTCTGTTTCTCTGCATTATGTCACTTTGCCCTGTCATGTTTCTCGATCTAAGCATTCGGGTAACATAAGCCCTAGGTTTGCTGGCAGGACCATGTTTGGATAAGGGATTAGGATGTTTGTGATTTGTCAATTAAGAGAGTGATGAAAGGGAAAGGGAAAGGGAAAGGGGTCGACCATATTAATGACTGATTACGATTTGTGGGCCTAGGAGTGTTGACATTTTTTTAAACAAACAGCAACTAGATCAACAAAAGATTACTTTTGTTGTCAAATCCAAAATATCGATAGGAATGTAAACAAAAGTAATATCACTCTTAATATGAGGCTGAGAAAGCTTGGCAAAAGCATGAGCAACTCCGCTGTCATGCCGACGGACATGACTAAGGCGAGAATAGGAAAACCGCTCCAAAAACACTTGCACATCAAAAGAAAGAGAATGAATCTCAACCGGTCCACCATCCACGCCATTCACCGCCTAAACCACCAGCAACAAATCATATTCAAACCAAACCTTATCATAACACTGAGATAAAGCCCACAAAACTGCTTTACGAAGAGAGACAGCCTCAGCCTGGGAAGCACTAGACGATGTGAAAGGGGAAAAAACCACCGACTGCAGAATCTGACCCTGGGAATTCTGGAAGACAGCCCCTCCACCACCAACCCAGTTCGACAAGGAAAATGATCCATCCATATTACATTTAACCATACCCATAGGAGGGGGCGACCAATGGGAAGAGGATGAAGGAACGGGAAGAATGGAATCATCTCCCCTTGAAGCAGTCGCCAAAGAATGGGAAGCAGTGGAGTCCTTAAATTCCCAAAACTTAGAGGAAACCCAGGTAACAATTTGCAAAGGAGAGAACAGCTCACCTTCGAAAAGAAACCTATTGCGTGCTTTCCATATACCCCAGCAACAAAAAACTATCCAACAAAGCGAATCCTGATGATCAAGCCCTTACCCCCATTGGTTCAGCAAGTTCAGCCACCATTCCTTAAAAGAACCTGGAACATTAGACATACAAACTAACCTCAACGGCGATAATTTCTAAACATAGACAGAATGAGGGCACTGAAATAACAAATGCTCAATGGATTTCTCAACCATACCACACCTAGGACACACCTGGCTTCAGGCTTTGACAAGGAACTAGCGCTAAGCCCGAGAGAGAGTTGAGGAAAAATGAGGGGGCGGAATGGGATGTGGGTAGAGAGGAGTCTGCAGGTGAATAAACCAAGCCCATACAACGGCTGTGGAGGGCAGGCTCGTAGTTGAATTGGTTGACGGAGTGATGAATAGTTCTGCAGGGAATGAGGTTCGATACGAAGGAACCGGAGAACAGGTTGTTAAACCCGAAGGTTAGGTGTGAGATGTCCCACAACAGAACTACAGGATTGGCTTGAAGCAGACAACCCCATTTGAGTATTTCCTTAATATAGATGGACTTCTTCCTCAATTCATGAAAAGCAAGCTCTGTGAACCTTGTAAGTGACTCTCCTCTTGTAACAATCTTCAATCAGTGTTCCTAGCTCGTAAGTTCCATAAGATGTTTGGTGTAAGGGAGATGTTGCTGTCATTTAGAAGATCTAGTTCCCAATTCGCCTAAGAAAAGAAGCACCAAAACAGCTATTGGTTAGGCATCGCATGGAATGCTTTCTATAAGAGATTCTGAAATATTGAAAGATGGTGGAACTATGCACTGGAAGAGCAGATTGACAACATTTCCATAAAAAATGCTGGATTTTGGGGGGAACGTTACATTTCCACAAACGGCGCCATCCATTAATGTGTAAAGAATCTATTGGATCGATTTCGAGAGAAAGGGAATCAGGAGATCTTGTCATGCAGTTTGCCAAATGATAGGCAGACTTAATAGAGAGCCGACCATTAGACTCCTCGCCACAAACCAACGCATCCTCCTTAGAGCAAAAACTAAAACTATAAGCAAGAATATTAGCCATAATGGACGGTTGAAATAAAGAGTTAAACAATTCCACATTCCATCCAGTCCCGGAGGAATTAAAAAGCTCATGCACCAAAGTCGGAGTCCCCCTAAAAGCAGGCCAGGCAAGGTACCAGAAAGACCAGGCACCCAGCGATCCTTCCAAATATTAATAGAGCGACCATTACCCACCACCCATCGAGCTCCAGCACCCAAAAGAGGTTAAGAAAACCAAATACTCCGCCAAGCCTAAAAGGGATTAGTGTAATACCCCTAATTTAAAAGGAAGTCCTGGAATTTATTTAATTGTTTAACTTGGATTTTTATTTAGTTAACTATGAATTTGTGTGATTTAATTGTGAGTTTTTAAATGACCTGTTTTATTAAGTGTTTTATTTAAATTATTAATTATTTTAGTTGCGTTTTATTTTATTTAAATTGTTAATTATTTTAATTGCATGGTTTTTGTAATTGAATTAGGTTAAATGTGTTTTTATTAAGTTAGGTTTTCATGTGTTGTTAGAAGTCACGCTTTTAGCCGACAAGGTTTATAAACTAGGTTGTGTTTTATGGGCCGAGTTTCAGTTTAGGGTTTAGTTGGACTTAGGTTTAAGGGTGGCTTATAAATATGTGTGTTTCGTTCTGTTTAGGGTTTTAGAACCCTAGTCATGGCATACAGAGAACAGAGAGATGTATAGAGGAGTCTGTGAGAGAACAGAGAAGGAAAACCAAATGATTGCCGGAAAAGCTTAGGAGAAAGACGTTGAGATTTTGAACCGAATCTCACAAGCAAGTTCTAAACCTATCTCTTTCCCTTAGGCTCGTGTTCTTTGCACGACTAATACAATTCCAGGATTTAATAAGGATTAAAAATTGAACTGGATTGCATGTTTTAAATGCTTAAAACTGGATGTGTGTTCAAGTTGTTTAATGTTTGTATTAAATTCTTCGTTGCGTAATTTCTGTTTTAATTCATGTAAGTTGATGAGTAATGATTTTAATTAGTTCTATACCATGTTGGGAATCACTGGAATTAATTTACTTTGCAAGTTTGGTGTGTTAAAACAGTTAGGGTTTGGGAATGCATAAACTGCTCGTATTAAACTCTTGATGCAAAATTCATGCTTAAATTGATTTTGGTAACTGAACAAAAAATTTAGTGGATTCTGGAATAAGTTGGAACCTGATTTAAACACTTAGGAACCCTAGGTATGAAGTTCAGTTCATCAGAAACCCACCGGAATTGAAAACGATGAAGAACAGAGAGAGAGACGGTTCACTGTTTTAAAGAGCAGGCTCTTGGAGCCAAAGAGCAAGCTCATAGAACCAAAGAGGCGGCTCTTAGGGGTCTTGGAGCAGGCTCTAAGATTAAAAGATCTGGCTCTAAGATTAAAATAGCAGGCTCTTTCTTTTGTAAAGTAGGCTCTTTCGTCGGGTTTCGGTTTTTCCGTTTTTCTGCGACTGTTTGGGCTACGGGACTTGGATTTTGGGATTTTCAGATTCTGGAAGAAGCTATATTGGGGTGTTTGGAGATGTTCTAAGATTGATTAAAATCTATGAGACAAAATTTATGCAAAATAAAACAACTTTGTTTTAATGCGACAGTGGACAATGCTTAATTAATAAGTTAACTGTGTTTTTTATATAAAAGGATGCAGAATTGCTTAACACTTGGAATAGCAGTTCTTAGCAATAAAATTCTCAATTAAACCTGTCCCAGTGTTATAAAATAAGCGTGTGGATTTATATGGTTTAGTATGCTTATTTGGCCCTAAGTTGGTTTACAGTTTGGATGGGAGGAACAGCAAGATGTTTAAGCTTTGGTATTAAAATTCTTAGTGATGATTTGCAGTTAGTCACGTTCCAAAATTATTAAAAATATATATATATAAAAAACTATGAACATTTATATTCTGTTATGGTTGATTAGAATTAATTGGTTTACATGTATAACATGTAGTATCAATTAATGAACATTTCGGAGTAGTATGGATTAAGCCTGTTAATTGATAATTA